AATCAGCAAAAAAAAAAAAAAAAATAGAGAGAGAAATGGAAGGAAATAGATATCAGAAAGTAAAATCTAAAACCAATCAGGATCTGGACTTGCAATGTCCTTTCTATTTCACTTAAGGATGCGATTCTGTTATTGAAATAATTGTAATGATTTGACTTCTGTCTTATATGAACATAATGCATATATACATACAGAAATAGTTAATGTAAGGGCTAATTCATTCACCTGTGAATGAGTAGAGTAGCAACTCCTTGTTCAAATTGTGGAACTTGGCTGTTCTGGAAGATTTAAAACATTATTCTTAGTGACGTGAGTCAAACTGCGGAAGGAAAGACAAAAGAGTCGAGGTAGGGGACAGCTCAGAGAAGTGATACTAGGAGAGTTTGAAGCACCAAGTTAATGTGACTGCCAGCAAGTATACTGTAATCGATTGATATCTGTTCCTTCCAATGCAGAAGAAGAATATCTGAGGTTATCTCCCAATGCAGGCACCTAAAGCTCTGAACAAGAGTGAGAACATTCACTGGCAAATTATGAGTACTCCTAGTCCCTATATGGGCAAGATCGTATTTATCTCCAGAATACCACATAAAATCAGAAAGATTAAATTTGGATTCTTTGGTTCATTGGCCATATGACAAAGCAATGCCCTTATCTTCATTTCTGATCTTCAGAGACTCTCCCTCAGTGATTTCTAACTTCCCTGGAAAAAATCCTATAGCAAATGAATTGTTTGGTATTTTGGATCAAACTGTTAAACTGATATTGTTTGTGGTTACTGGCACTTTGATGGAGTCCAGCTCAGGCCACATTCAGGCATATATCTGAGCCCTTTAAGCTATTATCTCTTAAGAGAAGATGGGTTCTCGTCACAGGGAATTTATAGCAAATGCACAACCTAGCTCCTCGTTCTTTTCTTCAGATTAGAAATTACTCAGTTGTGAAAGTCTTTAAGTAGCTAATATTTCAAACTTTCCTAACTTCCTTTAGTGACATCATATTAAAAGTCAGGATGGGAAACTTCTTCCAGTAGACAGGTGATCAGACAGTACCTTTCCATTTCTACCAAAATAGAAGCTAAGCAAGTAGTTCTGGCTAAGATAATGGATAAGAAGTCAATAGTTTATTTTAATTAAAACTGCTGACCTTTCCCTTTAGAGACCATGTTAAATTAAAGTGTCTTACTTCCAGGGCGGGCCAGAGTCTAGTGAGAATCTCCTAAATGTGAGTTATGTCTTTACTGAAGTGCAGACTCATTCATGTATCTGAGCTGCCTGGAAATACCTCTGCTCCCAGACAGCTAATTCTGGGAGCTGAGGGTTTTGTTTATTTTCCTGCCCTGACTTCTGTGGCAGGTCAATGCCCCACTAAGGTCAGCCTGCTGTTGAACAATCATTCCACAAGGTTCACATATATTTTGCTGCAGCAGTCTTGTAAATCAGCAGGGCAACCACATATTGAAATGTACTGTTGGCAAATGCAAGGAATACAGAGGATGGGGGAGAATTACCAAAGGCTGAGAAAATCACAAGTAGAACAAATCACTGCAGAGTAAAAGGAGATGAGGCTAGCCTTTGGAGATGGAGTCTAGCCTTTTGGATTAGACTCTGAGTACTAGTCTTTTGGAGATAGGCTGTACAGTACTGAGTAATTTGTAGTACCTCGAGAAAGATTTTAATTATGCTAGAGTTCTCTTCAAACACTCTGCTATGCTTTGTTCCTTGAAATTACTTTCTCATTCCTTGAGAAATATCAGAAATTGAATTAAATACCAAAACATCTGTTTAGTGGGTAGATTTAATTTCTGTACCACAGACAAAGACTAATTAAGAAAAGTAGCAATGATAACAAGTTTCGGAAAACCTCTTTTTTTTTCCCAAAGATATCAGACTCTCTGTTAGTTTTGGCAACATCACAGAGACCTCTTTAATGATGAATGATATGAAATCTACAGGCAGGTTTCTAGCTATCTTGACAGTTTGGGTTGAGCCTGTTATCTCTATGAGGTGAACTGAATATATTTATGTCAGGAATAAAGGCTGAGATAAGATGACGCTCAAGCCTGTGATATGGCTATAGACAAGACTGAAATTAAAAATGTAAGGGAAGAACATATTTTTCTCTGTGATCTTACTGGTTGTCAGTTTTATTTGGTCTACATCAAAACTATTATTCTTTCTCCTCCTTTCTTTCCTCCCTCTTCCCCAGAATAAGAAATTAAATACTAGGAGAATAATACAGTAGCATCAACAGAGCCTTGTGCATGTGTGTGTGTTTCTTGTCCTTTCAAGAGGCATTCTGTGCTACTTGACTCTATCTTAACACTGATTTTAGGGAATGTCTTCGAAAGTACATGTGTGAGCTGGATTCTTAGCCTCTGTAAACTTTACAAGGCAGTTAAATGTTTTAGCTGCACTTTTTTGTGTCTTGGAAAATTTAAACTAAACATGATCAATTTATTTTAAAGGAAGACAAAGCATATTTATTAAAATAATTTATTCATTTAAACTTAACATTAGTCAAAATGGTAAGAATTTTAATATCATGAAAATACCTGTTAGGAACTGGTACAATATCTCAGGCCAGTGAACTGAACAAAAGTTTATAACCCCCATATAATTTCAAGCATGATTCTGTTGAGTACCCCAAGGAGACACATACATAGCTTTTTGCAAGAAACAGCACTTAAAATACTAAAAAAAAAAGTAACAAAATTGAAGCGCTGAGTTCAAGGCTGTTCAGATACATTACCAGTAGAAGAACACTTAAGAACTCTGGATCAGTTTTGTACGCACAAGACCAAGTTAGAGCATCCCACCAGGATACCACCTGAGCTAAGCCCCAGAAATTCTTTGTGCAATTGTTTTCTGCCACTGGAAAGTGACTTACAGTAACTTGGCCCATAGTGAAAGAGTCTGAGTTTGATTTGCTTTGTCTTGCATTGGCTGCGGTCTGAGATGTTCACATATGTATTTATCTTGCTTCAGATGATAAGCAGGAACATTCCTGAAATTCTGATCCCTGAAATAGTTTGACAAAGTAATGAGGAGACTTTCTAGACATTTTACTAGGATGAAACAGCATACAATTGTTGAAATAACATTTTCTATTTTATTGGAAGCAGAGGTCCATCCAGCTGCAGTCTCCTGTCTGAGACAGCAGTCAGCAGCAGATGCCTCACTACAGGCATAAGAACAATGCAAGTAAATGATACTTCCTCTGAGTGTTTTCCCCATATCTTTTGCATCTCAGAGGCTTCCCAAGTCAGAGACAGTTCCCATGTACTCAGTGATCCTCAATCAGTGGTCTACTTACTGCTTATTATTTCACTCCTTTTTTCTCCAAGTGGTGAATTTCGTGAATCTTTGGCAAGAAAGGTATGGAGGATTCTAGTTGTGACTTGGAGGGAAGTTCTTGACTGAATATAGAAATCTGCCCATATATCATCCAATCAGAAAAAGCCACAGTTTCACTTACATTTTGTTTGAAACAAAAACTTTGAAAGTAGCAACCTCAACACATTTAAAAGTATAAAACTTGAACCCCTGGATACACATTTACTTACGTGTGAAAGCTTTTTTAGGGTTTATGCATTTTGTTGTTTTCATAAAGAAGTTACTTAGAAAACACCATTCCTGAAGTGTGATATCTATTGCCCAACATTTTTATAGAAAAAGATAACCATCATGCAAGTAAGAAATTGTAGGAATATTTGATTAATGCTACAAACATCAGAAATATTTCATTAAACATACAACTACTCATCAATTTTAACAAAGACATTACTATATTGCTGTGTTTATCAGAGTTAAGTAGGAACAATAGTAATGAAGTATTAGAACACCCAGCAGTGATTAACTTAAAAAATTATTCTATTTATATATTCAGAAGATCAGAACATTGTCACCACTCTGCAAGTTTCATGTTACTTTTACTTCCTAAAAGGTCCTTATGAAAAGGCCTGTGTTATCCGCTTGATATGCAAGGTTAATACCTTTTCATCTTA